TAATCTACTTCTTTAAACATCACTAAAACATTCAAGAACTTGGTTTAACAAAAACAGCATTTAAGACACAGAGTTAAGGGGACAGCTCAAATCTGGCACCAGTGGCCCATGATGTGCTAATGGACAATACATCCTAAATGATAAAGCGAGGGACTAAAAGGAAGAGTAACTTCTCACACAAAGGAGCTGGCTCAGTGGGGCGAGTGCTTTAGGCACAAGTATGTGGACCTGAGCCCAGCGTCCAAAATCTCACCTAGAACCATATGGTAGCCTGCATCTGTAGCCTAATGCTCCCATGGCATGATGGGAAGTAGGGAAAAGAGAACCTCTTGTAGTTCATGGGCCAGATAACCTGGGCTACAGAGAGTCATGATCCACTGCCGCCACTCAGATTCCAGTCAAGGTTCAGAACCCTGGATTTTTACAAATGAAAATAAATCTATAAAATCAGCCTTACAGCTTTAGTTTCTTGGTAGGAAAAAGCTTCCTCGGAGTCAGTTCCTAAGGTCAAAATACAAAACAACAGTGCTAGTAGCAACACCTGGCTCGGGCAGTTTGTCCTTGATAGTCTGGGCAGCCTGATATCTAAATTCAAATAAAGAAAAAGAGCTTTATTATTTAGGAGAAACTCTTACAGCTATCCCCTTTTCCATCACACTCTCTCCTCAGCTGATCTGAACCCTGAAAACACTGCCCTTCTGGGACAGTGGTTTCATTTCTGGTCCACACTTGGTTAAGCACCGGGTTCTGAAAATGTCAGGGTTAGACTGTCCCTAGGGCAGGCCTGTTTGAATCCAGACTTTCAAGTGTGACCCTGTCAACGCCTCTGAAATTCTAAGCAAAGAAATGCTTGTGAAATCACCAAGTCTCCCTTTTCATGTCATGCCCAAGCCACTGTGGCTGCTTTCAGTAACTTAGTGAACTAACTTTGGTGGGACAGCCGGAGCAGTTTGAGTTTTACACATCTCTGGCGTGAGTTCACGAATTGTGCAAACACTAGGATTCTCTTCTTAGAATGCCATGTTCTCCCACATTGTTTTGGCAAGACAGCAAACCTAATCAACCTGTAACTGAAAGAATTGTCTAAAATAATACTTGTGCTGTTGAGTGGGGTGAATTTCCAGGGAGCAGACATTCTGCCTTAGAGGATCCTATTCCCTTTCCTCTTGAACAAAGTACTCTTCTTCAAGGTTCAGTTCTGCCGTTGCTTCTTTATGCAAAGTCAAATACAACCCCAGCCATAGAAAGCATCAACAATTATTCATAACCCTTCAAAAACGGGGAGAGTCTCCGGACCCCCACCTCTATAGCAAAATATACAGCCACACGGTTAGTCATTCATCAGGATAGCATATCCTCCTATACCCATCTATCTAGACTCCGGACTTGCACCTCTACCATGAAAGGGTATGTTCGTGTAGGATTTGCCTACATAGTGAGCTTGTTCCCTTTCTCCTAGAGAATATTAGCTACCAAATAATAGCAGGTTGGCAATATAGCTCAGTAAATACAGTGCTTGCATAACATGCATGAAGCCCTAAGTTTTATTCCCAAGTCATGCATGAGAAAAGTGTGATAGTACATACCTATATCGCTAGCACTCAGGAGTTAGAGGCCAGAGACTCAGGAGTCCAGAGTCATCCTTAGCTATGTAGTACATTTAAGGGCACCCTGAGATAAAGAACCGTCTGTTTATCTGTTTGTTTAATTCCCCTTAATTCTTTATAATAACAGTTTCTTCTTCAAAACCAGAGAACTTAGCCAAGCATGTGGCCACACACCTATACTCCCAGGGCTTGAAAAATGGTTGCAAAAGGATAAGGAGTTCAAAACATTCACATTTACACAATGGGTTCAAGGCCAGCATAGGTTTCATGAGACCCTACCTCAAAAAAAAAAAAAAAAAAAAAAAAAAAAAAAAAACCACAACAAAACACTAGAAACTTAAATGTGTTCCCACCTACCTCGTGGCACATTGTAGCTGTCAAATAAGGAAACCACATAAATAAATGTCTTCTAAATTGTGGATTAAGGTTTGCAGATGCGTGCAATATTGGCGTGGAATGCATGTGTCAGCTCCAATGGTCTCTGTCCACTCTGCTTCCAGCCTTTGGCATCTCTGTACTGAAAACACCAAATTGCTGATTTGATTTTTCACCAAGGGCTTCTGGGGTTCACGGTGCTTCCATGCGCCTTTGCAAATGAGGGCGCATGAGAGGGCAACTGCAAGGCTGTCAATCGTTCAACGACAGCGCATTGGCCCCTGGGGAACAACCAAATGCTGCTGCAATCCCAATAATTCAGAAGCCTCCATAAATCATTCTGATGAGAAAGCAACGCTAAAGCAGAGGTATTGCTTTCTGCCACCTAGAAGAGAAAGTGAACGGTTTAAAGATGCCCTTTAAGTGAGGCCAAGTTTCCAATAACCCATTCCTCAACACTATCATTCCAAGCTTGTTGTGTGTTCTCCAGAGACCTTAGCGTTGGGACACTGGAGGAAAAAAAAACGGTATTAATGAAAACATTGCCCTGCATCTGTCTTGAATGTCTGTGCATGTTAACCCCTTTCCTGGGTTGAACAATTATTTGTACAAATTTATTTGCTAGGACAATACAAGCTGACTACTATAAAAAAGAAAAAAAAACATATCAACCGAAGAAGCCCATGTGTCACAGAAGTAATTCTGCAACAAAAAAAAAATGATCCAAGGCATTTCCCATTTGTTTTCTGGATGCTGTACAAGGCTCCAAACTAGTAGAATTCCCCCTATTTTAAAAAACTGGTGTTTGATGCTGTCCTGACATTAATGTGTCATGGGAAGGGAGGTAAAGAGCAGATAAAACTAGTTTGGGAGGTTTAATGGAGCTTACTAATGATTGAGGCATAGTTCTGCCCCTCTTGTTCTCTCGGCTATACCAATCTACTGGGGAAATGAGGAATGTAACCAGGTTGTGCTCCTAGGAAAAGGGGGAGGAGAACTCTATAAGCAGCTGGGCCTTTTGTTGTAGAGATCATATAAAATACTAATTACTTTAAAGTTAATTTCTGGTCAACATTTATATAAATACAGGTTTCTGGCTAAGTTATTCAAGTACCCACATGCATTATTGAGGACCTACTTCCTGCTAACCACTGGTTAGGCATCAAGAACATACAATCATAAGTATATATGTGTGTGTGTGTGTGTGTGTATGTGTGTGTATGTGTGTGTGTGTACATATGATTTGTGTGTGTGTGTCAATGTCTTCATTAGTGGTATTGTTTATACTCAAGCACGCTAAGAAAAACATTCCATAAGTAAAATCTATAGAAACAATACAGTGACAAGAATTTAGAAAAATAATAAAGTGGAAAGAAGAAGGTTGGGAATGCCTTGAGAATGGGCAGCAGTGATGTCAATCCCTTGCTCACAGGCTAAACTGTCTTCCCCAAAAGACATCTGCTGAAGCTCTTACCCCCAATATCAGTTGGGAATATAAAAGATAAAACTAAATATGATCATGAGAGTGGATTCCTGACCCTATAAGACTGTGCCTTCTAGGAATAGAACTGCACACTACACCCAGATCTCAGATACCAGCTTCAAAAACCATGAGAAAATTAATTTCTGCTACACAAACTACAGTCTACGGTGATTCACTAAGATAGTCAGAACTGATCAAGGCACTATCTGAATTTGATTTAAAGACATTCTAACTTTGCTCCTTTTCAAAACAAATGCTTTACAATTTTATCATAAAGGATAAGCTCCCTGAAACTCAAGAAATATTGTCTCTGCTTTACTTGCCAAGGTCATCTCTGGCACACACTACTGAAGTCAGCTCTGGGAGTCTTCATTTCAGATACGTAAATCAACCAAGATATGCTCCAAGAGAAGCTACCAGGGTGACAAAAGAAAGTTGGAGTCACATCTGTATTCCATTAGCCATTTAGACATCAACAACCAATGTATTCCAAGCACTTGCTTTGTGTTTGGATATCTTCTCTGCTCAATATTTTTTAAGATAATAAATAAGTCAACAATGGTAGAAAGAAATGTTGCAGAGTAATGGAGATTGTAAGCAAAATAATAGGAAAGACTGGGAGATGGAAGAGTTAGGAAGGCTGGGGGTGGAAGTCCAGGATTGAAGACCATTTTAGAGAGGTGCAAGCCACGTGGAAAGCATAGTCCCCAGGACAAAGGTTAGCAGGCACAAGCCCAAGTCCCTGCAATGAGACTGCACTTAGTAGGGTTATGAAACAGTGTCACAGGTCCATCAGGGATAAGAGAGTATGGCACAGTTCTGGGTGAAAAGCAGTTGAGATTGGGTACAGACCTTTAGACTTCATTCCCAAGAATATTCAGAAGATATAGAAGGGTTTAAACAGGCAATGACATGGTAAGGACGCATCTGTTTCTTGTTGCCATAACAACTTAACATAAACATGGTGGCTTCGACAAACACAAATTTACTTTCTGATCATTCTTTAGGCAAGAGTTACCAAATCGTCTTCAGTGGTATGGAGTGTTGGTGGGCTGTTCCCTGCCCAATTTCTAAGGAAGAATACCTTATTTTTCTTTTACTCTTTCCAGGCTTTCAGAGAATTCCTCATTCCAGGCCAGTCTCCCTTCCTCATATCATCCCTAGCTCTTGCTTCTTTGAGGACTTTTACTTTCTCTCTGCTCCATCTTACAAAGATAGTGATTACACGGCGAGCCTGCAGGATCCTCCACCACAGCCTCTCCACCTCAACACCATTAATCATGTCGCAACGCAGAATCCCTTCCTCCAAATAAGGAAACATTTACAGATTTAGGAATCTGGACTTGGATGTCTTAGGTGTTGAGGGAGAGGGGGACATTATTCAACCTGCCACGGAAAACCTGAATAATCCCCATTTGGTAACTACTTTTCTCAAAAGATGTCTGCACCTCTTGATGATATTGTTAGCTGTTACATGAGTGGAAATTTCCCTGAACAATTATAGATGAAGCAAAATTAAGAGATTGTTTTTTTACCTCTCAGATCCTCAAATGAGAGTTTCCGAGATGAAATAGAGGCGCTGCTTGCACGGTCACTGAACCATTCGTTCACACGGAGCATCTTAGAAAGCCGGTGTTCCGTGAGACAAGTTCTGAATGGCCCTGGCCTCTGGAAGTCTCCAGGGGAAATAAGCTGCTTTGAAACATTTGAAGAACTGTCATGGAAAAGATGGAGTGGGATTATATAAGGCCCTGGATGTGAAACCAGAAATCAATGAGAACATGACAGGGGCCAAGCTTCACCTCAGCCGTCAGTCTTCTTACAGCCCCCAAAGCTACAGTGAGAACGGCTTCCCAACTACGGTTTGTCTGACCTCACCAAGGGGTTATCACCATGGCCTGTATTAATAGTTCTCAGATTTTTCCTATAATTAGGCAGTTTGGGGTCTGGAGAAGATGTACATCCTGTCTCTGTAAACTCAGGTTGAAGTCTGTGGTTCTGCAGAGCTCAGAGAGGGGCAGTAACAGTTTCAGAAGATGAAGGGGAACTACAGCATTGTATACAAACTTAGACCACAGAATCTTCCAAAGAATCTCCCTTCTCCTAACCCTGGATCCCTGAACTGTTGAGAGGACAAGGAGCTTCCTGAGTATGAAGGACTCATCCTTAAAGGTAAGCAGGACTCTGGAACCCAGTGAAACTACAATTTGGGAGGTATTAGAGGGACCCAGTGAAACTACAATACGGTGGATATTATTAGAGGAAGCACAACTGAATCTGTGACTTTTGTGTAGGAGAAAAGGCATTTTTATCAGGTTGTGCCAAATCAGAGTTCTGCCTACCACAGACTAGACATGAATCACATAAGTGATTTAGTCGTATCTTTACTTTTGATCAGTTATGCACAAAATACATAAAATGGGACTGGTTTTTATTGGATCAGGCTAATAATAAATTAAACAGGATTTATCAATGGATCATTTCAGCACCCAGTATGTGTCAGGCCTATACTAGGATCTGGGAGCTTATCAGGGAACTAGAAAGACTTCCCAGCATGTAAGAATGCTTGTTCAAGCACTAGGACTTGAGAGAAAAACAAAACAAAAACAAAAACAAAAAAAACCCACGTCTGGTGGCACACAACTTTAATTCCAGCACTGTGGGGGGGGGGGGGGCAGAGGCAGGTGAATCTTCGATCTCTGTGAGTTTGAGGCCAGCCTGGTTTACAAGAGCTAGTTCCAGGTAACTCCCACACAGGAGGGTGTGGAGACAGGAGGCTCTCTGTGGCCTCATGACCACCAGCTTAGCTCCAGGTTCAGTGAGAGCTCCCATCTTAAAGGAATAATGTGGACAGTGATAGAGCAGGCCATGCAGCATCCTCCTCTGGTCTCTGCAAGCACATGCACAGGTATGCATGCACGCATGTGTGCATACACCACACATGCATACACAAACACACACTCACACACCTGCATAGAACCAAAGCACTCTCCTTTCTGAGGAGACGTCGGTAGGCTGGAGAAATGCACTTGAAAATAAAACACAGCTTCTCTGTCAAAGGTGTGACCTTAAAGGAACACAGTTCTCCACCCTAATAATCACAATCACAGTGACAGAGAACCGACCCTGCTCAGAGCACCTCCTTCCTGCTGAAATGACCCACTCAGAAGGATAAGATGGGCAGCAAGTAGAAGGTCTTGCTACCCTTTCATCTTGTAGTCCAAATGACATTCTGTACGCCACTATTTGTGGGTATGTATTGTCTAATTAGTTCACTTGACCATTAATATCCAACCAGATAAAATGAGTGAGGCATGCTGGGCAGTGCTAGCACTTGGGCAGCTGAGGTAGGAGGCTCAGGAGTTCAAGACTGCCCGGATTATATAGTAAGACATTGTCTCAAAAGGAAGAAGTTAACAGAGGTTCAGAGACATATTGCCAGGTTTACATCTGTGGTGTGAGAGAAAGGAAAAGGCAGTTTCTTAATTTGCATTCCTCTGTAGTCTTGTGTCACTACAATCCATTCCGTTAGTGTGCCTGGGGTCATTTCAGGGTGTCCTGAATATTCTTGAACATCTGTTGACATATTCGGTTGGTACGATAAATAATCAGACCAGCACAAGAACAACAGATATAAATTCAATAATTGAAAAAGAGGGAAACTCACGCTACAAGAGTGGAAGATCCGAAATCCAAAATGGTCCAGCAAGCACCGCATAGAGAGAGCACACACCTATCTACCCCTGTTTTTCTACCCGGGCTCCAGGCAGCCACACCCTAGCCAGATGTGATTGGCTGAGCTTCCCCATCAAACATCTATTGTATACTTACAGTTCAACTGAGAATTTAAGCTCTAGGGGTGGCTTTACTGGATATGCATAGATGTATATGTACATGTTAATGTTCAGCTTTTATAGATACTGACAGTTTTCCAAGGTTTTGGATATTTACGCTTCATTTCAGGAGCATCTAAAAGGTCCTGCTGTTCTACAATCCTCTTATGTATTAGCATGGTCTGTCTCTTTCATTTTAATAATGCTGGCAAGTGTGTTGAAAATAAACTATTCTAATCCTAATTTGCATGTCTCTGTTGGCTAATGATCTTGAGTAACTTTTCTCCCAGATTAGACATTAGACACCCTATTCTGGAAAGGAGTCTCTTCTCTTTTTGAGACAGGGCTTCTCTGTGTAGCTTTGGCTGTCCTAGAACTCACTCTGTAGACCAGGCTGGCCTCAGACTCAGAAATCCACCTGCCTCTGCTTCCTGAGTGTTGGAAGGCATGAGACACCACTGCCGAGCTTGGACTTGAGAATTTTTAATATGGCATTTTTGTCAATGATGTTTATCACAAATACATTTTCCCCCTCGATGACTTACCATTTTCCTTTAATGTGTCCATGTATTCATGTGGGTGCAGGAATGTGGGCAGGTGAATATGCATATAGGTATGCATGTATGTAAAAGGCCAGAGCACAACCTCAGCTGTTTTTCCTCAGTAGCTGTTCACCTTGTGTTTTTTAGGTTTGGGGGAAGCTGTTTGTTTGTTTGCTTGCTTGTTCTTCTTGTTTTTGTTTTTCAAGACAGGGTTCTCTGTGCTGCAGCTCTGGCTGTTTTGGAACTCTTATTTGTAAACCAGGCTGGCCTCAAACTCACAGAGATCTGCCTTCCTCTGCCTCCCGTGTGCTGGGATGAAAGGTGTGCACCACCACTGCCTGGGCTACCTTATGTTTTGAGACAGGATCTTCCATGAACCTGTGCTCACTGATTAGGCCAGGCTGATTAAAGAGCCCCAGGAACCTGCCTGATTTCATCTTCCAGGTGCTGGGATCACAAGCCAGTGCCACGCCCAGGGTTTTAGGAACAAGACAAGCACTCCACCAATGGAGCCATCTCCGAGGCCCTGCATTTTTCTCTCTTAATAATTTATTCTCATTAGCAAAGAATATTAGCTCTGTAAAGCTGAGCTGTCTTTCTCGCTCAAGGTTATAGTGACAGTCTCCTGTGTACAGAGGACTATTTGTCTTTCCACTTAAGCTACAATAACCCAGAAGGCTTCATCAGTTGTGTAACTATGCAAAATTCCAAACACATGCAAGAAGGCTTAAAGAATAATATATAATATATAATATAATATATATTACATTATATTATATTATATTTTATAATATAATGGCCCAATGACTCTTTCACCCACCCAAACTGTGGGTTGACAGCCAATCTTGTTTAATTTTTGCCACACATTTTTTATTATTTAAAACAATTTTTAAGTTTAGACATATTTTGGTCTTTCTTCCCATCCTCCAAGTCCTGCCAGATCCTCTCCCCATCCTTACACTCCCAAATTTCAGTTTTTTTCTCAATAAATAAATAAATAAATAAGAAAAACAACCCCTAAACAAAAAAAGCAAATTAAATGCACCCGAAAAGAAAACACCAAACTGTAGACAAATAGAAGCACAGACACAGGAAGAAAAACAAAACAAAACTGTGGAGTCCATTGTATGTTGGTCAACTCCTCCTGAACACGAGATCTGCCCTGGAATGATTTGATATGCCCAGTGTCACTCCATTGGAGAAAACTGGTTTTCCGTGTCCCAGCAGGTATAAATGACAGTTTGGTTGTTAGCCTTTACCCTATGACTAGGTTTTCACTCGTTCAATTATTCATCAATTCATTCATTTCTAAATATAACAAAATAAACTGACAAGATAAAATAAAAACTATCCATCAAAATAGGACAAGACAAACAAAGGAAAAAGAGCCCAAGAGAAGGCACAATAATCAGAGCCCTGCTCGTTCACAGTCTCAGGAGCCCCATAAAAGCACTAACTGGCAGGCTTGATGAAAATGCAGAGGCCCTGGTGCAAATTTGCACAGGCGCTGTGCATACGCCCTCGGCCTCTGTGAGATCTTAAGAACTTTGCTGCTGTTGATTTAGAAGGTCTTGTCTTTTTGGTGTCCTCCATCCCCTCTGGTTTCTATATATTCTTTCCACCTCTTCTTCTAGGGATGGTCCCTGAGCTCTGGGGGGCGGGGGGGGGGGGGGGGTTGATGGAGACATCCCATTTCGAGCTGAGTGTTCCAAGGTCTCTTTCTCTGCATCATGTCTTGGTTGTAGGTCTCTTTATTATCCCATCTACAGCAGGAGGAAGCTTCTCTAAAGGTGTCTAAACAAGGTACTGATCCCTGAGTATAACAGAATATCATTAGAAATAATTTTATTGCTACATTTTTCTTCCTTTTAGGCCAGTATTATTTAGTTTTACTCTAGGTCCCTGGGCTATCTACTCCCAGGTTCTCAGTCAACCAAGCGGTGTCAAGTATCAAATCAATTATTGGTTGCTACTCCATCACTTTGTGTCACCATTGCCCTAGCCTATATTGCAGGTTATCATTGGAGGAAAAGGGCTCATGGTGGCTTCGTGTTTACATTTCTTTTGATAGCATGAAGCATATCATGCTGTACCAAGGACACTGAAACATAGGGGTGAAGACACCAGACCAACATCGCTGTCTTCAGTGAGTTATATTTTTACCACTCTTCCTTCCCTCTCGCCTTGCTTGCTATGAAGCAAATCATAGTAAGTCATTGCCATTGCATTCAAAAACACATTAGCATTTACCAGTAATATATAATTGCTTTAACCACACAGTAACTGTAATTTTTAATTCCTTTAAAATCCTTACTGTCATTAAATAGCCAAAGAATATTATTCCTCCAATTGTCTCACTAAAGTTTTTTTAATATCTTTGGTTTTCTTAAATCATAGCTAGGTAAAGTATTTCATTAGATTGATATTCTTCTAAAAATCAATCTTACTAAATTGTATTTCTTCCCCTCCATTATTCTTCCTAAAGGTGCATTTATGGGAGAAACGTGGTAGTAGAGAATCTCTTCATTCTTGAGTTGCTGTTTGCCAATATCATTTAATACATCTCTGTGTCACTTGCAAACTGATAGTTAGCCCCACAGACTTGGATCGACAAATTGGGTCATCAGTGTAATAGAATGCTATTTGGTGACTTAAAAAGGTAAGAATGGTCAAGCCATGAAAAAAACAGTGCCATCTTTATTGCTGCTGCTAAGTAAAGGAAAATCCACATATCTGATTTCAACTACATGAAATTCTATAGCAGGCAAAATTACAGAGCCAAAAAAAAAAATGACCTGTGGTTGCTTGAGGGTCTGGGGAACTTGAGGAGCTGTGTTGAAGAAATAAAGTAGAAAGGGTCTTTCTGGAATGGCAAAACAACTATGTGTTACTCTATAATAGAGGACATGTGTACACATTTATCAAAATCCATAGAACTTCACAACAGAAACGAAGTTCTCTTTCTCAGAAAATTTTAGTGTATGCATTTCTTTTTTAGGAAAAGGATTTAGTAAGTTAATATGTCCCAGAACAGAATAAGACTGTTTGGGGACGACTCTAACTCTATTATGAAACAGCCTGGGTGAATTGGTAGGTACAGAGGTAGAGGCTTGGCGGACTAGGCAACCTTGGGAATGAGTGAAGCCGGTGAGACTAGCTGTAAAAGGGTTTTCACGAAAGTGCCGTGTAAGAAAGTGCTCTAGTTGATAACACTGTTTTCAGTGGGATACAAGTTCACAATTCTGATACTACTCTTGTCTTGTTTTTCTATAACTGTGGTAAGAAACCATGACCAGTACAACTTATACAAAAAAAAATAGTTTATTGGAGGCTTACAGCTCCAGAAAGGGAGTCCATGGCCACTGTAGAGAGAGCATGGCAACAAAGCAGAAGGCGTGGCGCTAAAGCAACAGCTGAGAGCTTACATCTTGAGACACAACCATCAGTGCCACACCTCCCGCCAAAATTCCATACCTTGTGATCCTCCTCAAACAGTTTCACCAGCTAGGGGAGAAATATTCAAAGATTATGAGCCTGGGAGCGGTTCATTAGAGCCACCACAGCTCTGTGTGTGTGTGTGTGTGTGTGTGTGTGTGTGTGTGTGTGTGTGTGTGTGTGTGTGTGAGCTGTTTGATTAGGTGTGATAGATAAACTATGTTTCTCACTGTTGAAGTGGAAAATTATAGAGCAACAAATGAAAGAATCAAGGCTGATGCAGATGACTTAGAGTTGGAGACATGTACGTATACAGGTATGGAGAAATATTTACATATAAAAGTATTTCTCGATTTGTTCATATATAAGTTGGTATACATACACATTTCCTCACTCCATCATCTGGGAATGCCTAGAAACAAAAATACCCCAGTAACCACCAGCATGGCTATCACCCAGACCTTGGTTTCTAATGTCATTCTCTAGTAACTGAAACTAGGGCTTCTTTGAAAAGTGGATGGTTCTAGAGCTAGAAAACAAAACTTAAAAATAAATCTCCAACATTTTATTGTAACAGATACTATAAAAATTATTTTGAAAATTGATGGGAGTCTGTCAGAACAACTACAGTACCAATAGACAGAGTTCCCAATCCCTCTTGGTGAGTAACCAAAATAATAAATAATGATGTGTTACAACTCAAAGTATAAAATAAATTACAATTAGTTGTATAGCCAAAAAATGGAGAAAAATAACTCTCATGTGGGAGAATATCAATTTAAGCAAAAAAAAATGACATTTTTATATAACTTGGATCCTAATGCCTTTTAAGAAAGAGGCCTGAATATCTGTGATTGTCCTTCCAGAAAACTCACCACCAGTGTCCTTTGGCAGAGGAGGCAGGGCTATCAGAACTGTCACTCATCCATGAAAGTGGAAGAAGCACCATGTAGGGAGGAGAAGGAAACCAGCAGGAAGGAAAGAAGGAGAAATAGCAATGAACAGATGTGGTCGAAGGGACATGCATCAATGAACATGTTTTCATAGAAGCCATCACTGTGGACAATAAATACATAAATAAAAAATTCAAATGCCTCAGTCATCGAAACTGAGAAAACCCTGGAGAAACTTGCAGTTGGGAGGGGATGGGGGAGGTCCTAAGGAGACGTGACTGTTGATGTAATATGATATCCTATATGAGAGCCTGGAACAGAAAAAAAGACATTAGGTAAAAGCTAAGTAAATGTGAATAAAGTATGAACTTTTAGTTAATAATGTTGTATTAATACTGGTTTATGAATTGTAATAAATTATATCATAACAATGCAAGACATTCAAGGTGAAGTTGAATTTGAGCTACACGGAAACTCTTTACAATCTGGAAACCTAACCTCCTGCCCTTTTTTTAAAAAAACTTTATTTCATTTCCAGAACTGGGGCTGAAATCTAAGGCCTCACAGGTATTAGGCAAGCACTTCTCCACAGAACTGCATTCCCAGACATAAAATCAGTTTTTAAAAACAAGCGTTTTGACTCATTCCAATTGCACATGCCTGCTCTGCTCATTGGGTAGCATTTTCATTTTGTGTGTTGGGTACATGGGGCATCAGGGAAGGAAGAAATGGAGGAACATGAATCAGGGCAAACAGCTAAGGCTGTCACTACACTCAGCCTTGGATATGTACCTTGTGGCTACTTAACAAGTATCTGAACAGCAATCAGTAATCAGTGCCTTACAGGTAAGACACTGTCTGAAGGCCAACCCCAACCCAGGCTTCTCCATTTTGGTGAAATTCTAGCCCTCTTTGCACCACTGTGGAGGTGGCATCCCACTGTCTCTCGTGTGGCAACCATCTCCTGAGACCCTTGTTAATATGACACTCCACGAGACAAAGTGGCTGAGAGACACTGCTTTTACAGCTTCCTTTCTTACCATGCCTCTTCATCAGCTATGAATCGTTCACTTAGCAATGTCACAAAACAAAACCAATAGGACACTTACACAAAACTAAGACTTTATCAAGTCACATAGCTGAGACAGATCTGGCCAGGTGTGATTCTATTTATGAGCCCAAGTATTGTCCTCAGAACTCAGTGACTCTCCACCTCTTGGGTGTTTGCCTCCAGCTCCATTTCCAAGTTCTGTGTAGCAGCCTGGACAATTTAGATCACATATTCCCAAGGTCAGTCTCACTACCTGGAGAGCCCAACTTTCACATCCCTGGTACAGACTGGCCTGTTTCCTTTTTCCCAATTACAATGGAACAGAGGTCCATCTCAGAAGCAGGGTTCCCCTATGCATGCTCGCAGATGGAGGTGGGTGCAGAAGTGATACAGAGAGAGAGAGAAAGAGAGAGAGAGAGAGAGAGAGAGAGAGAGAGAGAGAGAGAGAGAGACAGAGAGACAGAGAGACAGAGACAGAGAGACAGAGAGACAGAGAGAGAGATGACACATAAGCCAAGATGAAGGGAGACAGTAGTTCTGCCAGAAGAATAATGAACTACAATGGAGTGTGGAAAAAGGAGAGAAAGTACCAAGTCCCCAAACAAAGCAGAAGAGCTATTGCAGACAAGCATAAGAAGAGCATGCAGGACCCTCGGGTATCACCCTCCCTTTCATAGCCAATCATTTTCTTAGAGTATATCCTTCCTTCCACCATCCTACATGCAGGCTTCAGTGGTGCACTTGATGGATCTGCCACATTCAAACCCATTCTCTATTGTCTGCATCACCCACGCAATGCATCTCTCCACCATCCCTGGCTGTGCCAGCCCACACTCCTGTCTTATCCACACTACAGGAATTAATAATGGATGCGAAGGAATGAATAGATGATTCCATAAAATTAAGAATTTGTGCTAGGATATCCTGTGAAGACCTTCTCTGGGTTTTTAGCCTGAAGAGAGAGAAAAGGAGTTTTATGGCATCTTTCAGAAAATGAGAAATCTTAACCTAGTTTTGACAAGATATCCTATGAACTTTGAAATCACTTGGCCTTCTCCCTGGATCCACTACTTGTCTGCAAAATGAGGGCAAACGATTTATAAATAACCTGCAGGTTCTAACCATAAATAATGCCATGACAAACCGCCAAAAACCAAGCCCACTCTCTAAAGCCTCTTACTAACTTTCCCCGAGTCATTCTTTTTCTACTCGCAGACAAGGAAGGGTACGCGGTAGCAGGCATGTGCAGTGTAAGCACCTTGGAGTGCTCTGCAATCGCATCATATAATGCTGTTGGGCATACAGTGGGCACTCAAGAACTGCTTGCTAAAGGAACAAATAAGAACAGTTGGAACCAAGACAAAAGGAAGAAAAGAATAATAATTTTTTTTGGGGGGGGGGTTATATGGCAAGGCCTGGCTGGAAGGTCTGTCCATTGTTGATACCTGTGACAGGTCCAGTAGCTGGAACCAAGGTCTGTCACCACAGCAAGCCCCCACAGAGATATCCTGTCCTTGATTATGGGAGCTAGCTCTTCACAGATTTCTGAAAACTGGCAAAGGTTCAGTTTGCAGACAGATGGCTAGGGATGTCAGCATCAAGGTCAAGCAGACTCAGACCTCTGTTCCTACAGTGGAAAGGATAAAAGTGGGTGGACATTCAAGCTTCGTCTCACAGGGTACGTGGGTGATGTGAGTGCTGTGCCACAGTAGTCCCAGGCAAAGCTAGAGATCCAGAGACCTCCAGTAGGGGCTATAGGAGCTTCCTGTCCCACTCAGCTTTTTCTACATCTTGACATCCCTGACCATAAATGACGCTAATTACTCATTTCACAAGCACAGGTCCCTAGCATATCCATCTTCCCTGTCACCATACTGCCGGTAGCCTCAGCGCTAATCTGTCCTTGGCCTCTGCCTCAGACTCGCCATCACATCTGTTAGTTGCCTCAGTATGCAGATTTCCCTTTGGTAATGTGTTCCACATGTTCCTGCCTCCTTCACATCTTAACCACGCATGTTTATCCCTTCAACACTTCTTCCCTAGAGCAATGCCCTCAGCTACACCAAGACTGGAATTTTGAAAGTATTTTGCCATTGTCACTCAACAGCTTTTTAAAAATGGCTCCCAACTTTTACAGAATAAGCCCAAACTGCTCATCTAGATTCCCCCTTTATCTAATTACACCCCAAGGCTTGTCTCTAATCCCCTCCACAGAGCTATTCCAGAGAGGCCATCTGAAAGAGGGGCCTCCATGGCACTCTGTGCTCCCCAACCTTCATCTCTTGACTAGATTCTCCCTTCCGTCTAGAAAGACCATTCCCCTTCCCGCCACTAACCCGGCTCACCTGTTCTACCTTCCCCAACATATCTTGATTCTCCTTCATCAAAATGAACCTCATTCCTTTGCTTTTTGAATGGCTGTACTTTATAGAAGGTGTAACATTTGCATTATTTGTCTTTCTATATGTCTGCCATACTTGGTGGGCAAGCAACTGTGTTTGCATGACCTTCTGCTCATCCATCCCCTGAAAGCACAAAGGCTCAAACTCCTCCCCAGTGACTTCGATCTTCACAGCTATTCTACATTTGGCTATTGTCATTTTTATTATATCATTCATTTTATAGAAGAAAAACTTAGGCACAGAGAAATCCAATGCCTAACCCCTGGGGCCCACAGGTAATGAGTGATGCTACCCTGTAGAGGTGTTGGGTATCCCCCCCACCCCCCGCATAGTACACAACTGAGCACAAAGCAATGAACACAGCCTGACAGCCTGGGCTCTCCAGCTGGACACTAAGTTAAATTTAGATTCAACTAATAAAGAATACTAGCCACTGTTTGCCTGCAACATGTTGTACAAACCAACTCAGATTCTCTGGCTCCAGCCTCATACATTTTGGTGGTGTTCGTGTATTGTTTTTCTGCTCACATTTAAAACATAAAGCCAATTAGACTTAGCTGCCCCCCTCTCTACCTGCCCCCACCCTTAAGCTATGCAGCTCCATCAGTAAAGATACCCTTCTACAGGCCAAGCCCTCACATCAGGAAGCTTGTAAGGAATTTAAATAGATGGGATAAAGACTCATCAGCAGTGTTCTAAGTCTGAGTCTTTTCTTCTTCTGGATCCATTAATCTGTTTAACAAAAAAAAGGGGGGGGGGGCATTTTTAAACCAGATGATTGAATAATGACACATTTCTTTTGTCACAATTTGAATGCAGTGACTATGCTCCAGAGCCACAGGTGAGTGTGTACTCTCTGGGAAAGTGACAAGCCAGCCTTATTGCTTTTGTGTGGGAAGCATTTCAATTAGCAGAGAGAAGTAAGCCCCATCAGCTTCAGGCATGGAGACGAATACACAATGAGTGGCATTTCTTTTCTGCAGGAGCACTAATTAATCAACTGGAGCTGACAAGGATAAGTGGTCTCACAAGGCATGGAAGCAAAGGTTCTTGCAGCTTTCTAAATGGTCAAAGTGTCTTTCCCAGCACCCTGCTTGGGAGAGGTGCTTACAGCTTCCTTGGGTGCTAACTCCCTTTCAAATGTTGCCATAGCAACATATGTGGGTTAGGTTTTTTGTTGTTGTTAGTTTGGTTTGGTCTGTTCCATTTGTTTTTCAGGCTGCCAGGTGAAACATTTGAAGAGAAAGCCTTTGTGGCAGTAGTGCAGGGGCACGAGACACATGCTGGTGCCGTGAGTCTGAGATGTTATCCTCTGTTCATGTGGTCCATTTTCCAAGAAGATCCTGGATGTGCAGAATCTTGCACACTTTTACAACAATCCTGTGAGGAAGGTCATAGCTTGTCATAGTTTTACAAATTTTACAAGCAAGAAAAGTGAGAAAGAGAAGGAAGAACCATGAAAAATACGATGTAAAGAGAGATTCAGGAGGAACTTGTGAAAGATGTAAGATTCCAAGCGAAGAGCATGGAAATGGACGACACTGTTTTGTCATTACCAACAACTGATGACATTACCGTTCCTGCCTTCTTTTCTATTGCTAGCTAACCTCAGTCGATCCCACTAGAAATTTTGAGAGGGATGTGTCATTTGGACATAGAGCAGAAATGATGGAAGCAGGCTGCACGGGCTGTTTGGGGAGTGAGTACATATGACAGGCAGATTTTGGAATACTAGAAAAACAATGTGATATGATCCTCTGAAAGGGATAACCAGGCTTTCGTGGTGGAAATAGATGCAAA